CGCGGTCGACTACATGGGAGTCCAGAGACATAGCCATTACGCCAACTGCTGGTCCCTGAGTGCCTCCCGTGGGTTAAAGTCCCTAGTTGCACTTGATTTTCACGTTGTCCCTCTCAGTAGATGTTGGCCCATGTCACAGAGTGGGAATCAAGGCCGAGAGGAAGTCACTTGCTCACAGTTGTACTGCCGGCGGGTGGAGGGCTCTCGAACCCAGCATACCTTCTTCCCAAGCCTGCGCTCTCCCTGCACACACTGAGGGGCTGGCTCTTGGGGGCCTGTGAAGGACCTGCTCTCCTGGCCCTGCAGGCGGGTACCTGGCACAGAGCCTGGCCGTCATGACGGACGCAGCCCACCTGCTCACTGACTTTGCCAGCATGCTCATCAGCCTCTTCTCCCTCTGGATGTCCTCCCGGCCAGCCACCAAGACCATGAACTTCGGCTGGCAGCGAGCAGGTGAGGGCGCCGGTTGGGCTGGAGATGGGGTTGGCGGCGGGCAGATCAGGCCTTTTCGGGTGGCTGGAAATGGGTGGATCCCTGAGTGGGGCTGGGAGGGTGACTTGGGTGGCGGAAGAGGATGTCAACTTTGGCCTCTGTCCCAGTCTGATGGGGGAGTCCTGGTCCCAGTCTTCCAGAGCTCCCAGGCTGTAGGGGAGCAAAGTTCACCTTCCTGAGAAATGCAGCGGCCACCGTCGAGAACAAATGACAATGGTATTAACCCCGCACATAATCCCACGGGTCAGACCCGAGTCTTTCAGGAGAGCGAGAGACAAGCACCAGCAGGTCTCACACCATGACCCCGGGCCTCCGGCCGGCCAGAATCACAGCCATACCCACACGCCTGTGAGCAAGTTGCCCTGGGAACCGAACCCCAGTCTTCCATGACTTCGAGCATTGTAGCACGTGGCACTGCTGCGGGGCTACTGTGGCTGGGCTTAACTCACTGGGAGTCTGTGCCATGGTCTCATTCCCGCCTTGTGGGAGACGCCTGCCTCTCCTCACCACCCTCGGTTTGCCAGCCAAGCAAAAGCATTTTAGAGATTTTTGCTAAATGGTGCATGAGCTCGCCAGAGAGAGACAGAGAGACAGAAAGTGAGAAATCACCCCCCGGGGGGATGGCCACACCACAATCCCTTCTCCACTTGGGACTTTGGGCACACATGCACCGGCGCCCAGTGTGAGTTTTAAGCCATTGGTCTGGAACTTGAACCGCAGTTGACTACCTGGGAGTCCAGCAATGTAACCATTTCACCCTCTGCTGGTCCCTTCCTTTCTTTCTCTCTTTCTTTCTTCTTTCTTTCGAGATTTTTGCTATAGTACGCATATACTTGCAGGAGAGACAGAAAGAGAAATCCCCAGGGGGCATGGCCATACTGCAATCCCTTCTCTATTCTCCTCTCGGGATTTTGGGCACACATGCACATGCGCCCAGTGTGAGTTTCGTCAGGTTCAGGACTTGAACTGCAGTTGACTATGTAGGAGTCCAACAATATAACCATTATGCCATCCGCTGGTCCCTATTTATTTTTTTAGAGATTTTTTGCTAGAGGGTACATGCACTCTTGGAGACACAAAGAGAGACAGAGAGGAAAGGTAAGACACTATCCCCCAGGGTGGATGGCCACACCACAATCTCTTCTGCCCCATTCTCCTCCTGGGATTTGGGGTGCACACACAATGTGCCTGGTGTCAGTTTTAAGCTACCAGGTCCAGGACTCGAATCATGGGCCTACCACCTGGGAGTCCGGTGATGTAACCATCACATCTGCTGGCCCCTATTTGTCACTATTTTAAAATTTATTACAGGATACACGTGCTCACCAGAGAGAGAGAAAGTGAGAAAGAAAGCTACTGGGTCCAGGACTCAAACCATGGTCAGCCATGTGGAAGTCCAGCCTCTTAACCACCACGCACCTGCTGGCCCCGACCCAGATAAATTAAGTTCTTTCCAGCTCTGACAGGCTCAGCTATGGGATAAGGCGCAGCCCTGCAGCTGTACCTCAGCAGAGCCCAGTGGGACCCAGGCCCTGACTTTGAGGAGGGAGGGGAGCCCCTTCGGCCCAGGGCACCATGCTAAGGCGGACGTGGTGGGTTGGGTTCTCTCTCAGAGATCCTGGGAGCCCTGCTGTCGGTGCTGTCCATCTGGGTGGTGACCGGTGTGCTGGTGTACCTGGCGGTGGAGCGGCTGGTCTCTGGGGACTACGAGATCCAGGGAGAAACCATGCTGATCACGGCAGGCTGCGCCGTGGCTGTGAACATCATGTGAGTGCGGCCCCATCCCCTGTGGCCCCTCCTCTACTTCTTGCACAAACACCACTGTCTGCCCACGGTGCAAGGAGGCCATGCCACCGTCCAGTACAGACCAGGGGACAGTTCCCCGGTGGTCTGAGCTCTGGTTCCTGGAACACCTGGGTCCTGCCCGGGGCCTTGGCCAAAGATCGGGAGCTGTAAATGGGGGCACATCCACTCCATCTGCACCCCTGCACGTCAGCGAGTAGCCTGGGAGACCTCATGCTAGAAGTGGGAGGAGTGACTGCTTGTAGTAGTAGATGTCCCTGGGGTAGAACCCAAGTCCTTTTGCAAGCTGAAGTTGGTCCCAGAGGGTGCTGGTGTGTAAGACATGGTTTTTCTTTTTCTTTTTTTTCAATAATTTAATTTATTTATTATTATCATTACTATTTTCACATGAGTCTTGCCAGAGGCAGACACAGAGAGAGGAAGTGTGAGAAAGCAAGCTGCCAAGTATGGACTCCAACTGCAGTCGGCCATGTGGGAATTCCAGCGCCATAACCACCACGCCACCTGCTGGCCCCTAGACGCGGTGTTTCATTTGGGCTCTTTCCTTGCTCAGTGGCGTCAGTTTCTCTGGGACATGATGGGGTCACCTAGATGGCAGCTGTGAAGCCCTCCTGCTCTGACCTTTGGCACTGTGGCATCGCTGTGCCCAGGCTCGGCCTTGCCTTGGAGCTGAGCCCTTCTCCCGTGCCCATGAACCAAGGGCGGCGTAGGTCGGGCTCCTTACGTGGCCAGAGGGACCACACAGAGGCCTGCAACTTTCCCGTTAGGCTGATGTGGGGCCAGTCCCTGCCGCCCCGCTGAGCCCCTCTGGTTTGTGCCCACCACTCTAGAATGGGGTTCACCCTTCACCAGTCTGGTCACGGGCATGGCCACAGCCACGCGCACAGCCACGGCAGCAGCCCGCAGCAGAACCCCAGTGTCCGAGCGGCCTTCATCCACGTGATTGGAGACTTTCTGCAGAGTGTGGGCATCCTCGTGGCTGCCTACGTTTTATACTTCAAGGTCAGAGCCGGGGACAGAGGCGGGGCAGGGGCTGCTCTCTATGCTGAGCCTTTCCAGGTTCAGCTCCCTCAGGGGAGGACACGGGCCGGGAGGGGAGGGGACGTTTATCGGAAGCCCACACGTGGCAGCTCCTCTGGTCTTCACGACTGCCCCGAAGGGAGGCGGTAACGTTTCCTGCGGCTCAGAAAGGGTCAGGGATTGGCACCGCGTCTCACGGCTGGCAGGCTGTGGAGGCAGATTCAAACCCAGGGCTGCGTGTCGCCCACACAGGCAGCGAGGTGCCGTGAGGAGCAGGCATTTGGTTTGGCTGACTCCACTGCTTGCTAGCCACGCCAAGTGGTCTGCTCTAACTGAGCCTCGATTTCTCCATCTGTAAAACGGGGCTGCTGGGCCAGGCGGCGTCGAAGACCCCATGTCTCAGTCGCTTGGCAAGGAGGGGTGAGAAGGCCGTGCCTCCCGCTCTGCTGAGGTCTGCCCTGCCTGCTCTTCCAGACATGGAGTAGGGTAGAACACTGGAGGTGGCGAGGCTGGGGAGCAGGCCCCGCCCCGCGGAGAGAGCCTCCCCTGACCCAGCGCTGGCTGAGAGGGGTGCAGGGAGGCTGAGGCGGGTGGTGAACCCCAGGTTGGGCTGTCCCCCTTTTCCACAGCCAGAGTACAAGTTCGTAGACCCCATCTGCACTTTCCTGTTCTCTGTCCTGGTCCTGGGGACGACCCTGACCATCCTGCGAGACGTGCTGCTGGTGCTGATGGAAGGTAACCTGGGCTTGGGGCTTCTTCAGCCTCAAGTCGGGTCTGCGCGTGGGGGACACCGAGCGCCTTGCTAGGGAGCCGAGGCCTGGAGCCTGGCACTGGCTGGAAACCTCCTGGGGCCCAGGCTGATCTGGGCGTAGAGCTAGCCTTCGGGGGCAGACCGAGCCTGGCCTCCCCTGCGCGTCCCTGCTGCGGCGCGTTCTCCCTGTCTGGTCAGGTGGCTCCTGGGTAGTGTCTGTAGGTCTGGGAGCCCCACCCTGCCCTTGCCCAGCCCCAG